ACATATTCACTTTCTTTTCACTTTTTTCAGTATTCATTTATAATTTAGATTTTTTTTTCATGTATTAAAATAAAAACATTTGCACAAATGTAGAGTATGGCATGGGGCATGAAGTTTGGCCACAAGGTGACGTGTATAGTTACGGCATCCTCCTGCTGGAAATGTTTACGGGAAAAAGGCCAACTGGTGACATGTTTCAAGGATCTTCAAATCTTCATAACTATGTCAAGGCAGCTCTGCCTGAGCAGGTGTTAGATATTGTGGATCCGGTTCTTATTCAAGAAAAATGGGAAGGGGAGATGAGCGCAAACCAGCATCTAACTGAGGCTGGCACAAGGATTCGCATGAAATTTGAAGAGAGCTTGATTTCAATCTTAGGAGTTGGTGTTGCATGCTCTGCAGACATGCCTGGGGAAAGGTCGGACATCACTGATGCTATGGCTGAGATGTGTCGGATCAGAAACAAACTTCGAGCAGATAAAATGTTGGATTAGAATAAGCATACTGTTAAGTATTAGAATATACGTAAAATCTTGTTTCCTTATGTGGAAGTTGAAGTTCTCAGATTTGCTTGATCAATAAAAACAGTATAGTTGATAACTTGTCTGACAGACTTCAGTCCATTTACTATTTCGTACCGTTGAGTTATACTTAGATGCATTTGGCATAGGGTGAATTCAAGCTCGTACTTCTTGTAGTATATATTATCAGAATCTAGAACGAGTATCAGATTCGCATGTCAAGATTTCGTAATTTGTATCTTATCGATTTCATTTTTAAAAGGAAAACTTGTATGTTCTAGAGCAAACCCATTTGGTCTTGACTCCTGCAAGGTATTTTTTATCTATGAAATATCAGAGCATCAGGATTAGATTCAAAGGATAGGGGAAACCCATAAGGGTATTTTGTTCTAGAGCAAACCCATTCGGTCTTTTTTTATGTTCCTTTGCCTTGTAGTTTATTACTTCCGCAGTTGAAACTAGAACTAGATACAAAACTAATAGTGTGCATTTCCTAGATTTTATCCCGAACAGGACGGTGAAAGCTGAAACAGAGTTTTTATGCCAAAACAAATTCATTTGTATAGACTTAATTGTTGTGATTAATTGTGGGTCATGTGTTGACGACAACAATTGAAGACCATGTGTTTGTTTTCGGTTTTGGCGTGGAAGTCTTCGTTCAAGGATTGCACGCTATAGACTACGTACAGCAAAGAGTTTGAATTTGGCGTGTGAACTAAAGACCAATTGATCTTAGTTGTTGGTGTCAGTTTAATGGGTTCCTGGTGCATGCATTTAACTAGATGCAATATTTGTGCATTTGGTAAGCATCCGAAGGGGAACACAGAGGAGAGAAAATCACAGAGAAAAGAGTGGCATCTTGGGGTTGGGTGAGCTCTTGTGAAATACTGTGAGATGGTGTACAAGGGTTTCGTTTTGATTTATGTTGATTTAACTCAAGTGTATCATGTACTTGTTACTATTCTCTTAGTGAAGAGCAATATCTCTTTAGGGACGTAGACAGGATTTTGCCGAAACTTGTAAATTTTCGGTGTCTTTATTTCTTGTTTATTTTATTATGTTCAACTATGGTTTGTATTCTAGTGATGTTGTAATTTGAAATCTCGGTTCCGCATAGACAAAGGCACAACATGATAAAAACTAATAATCCTTCAATCAATAGTATCATTGGTCTAGTCAATGCAGAGAAAATGAATACATTTCTATACTATGAATATGGACCCACATATCAAAGAAAGAGTGCACATTATGCACATTATCACTAGTCTAGGTTGATAATGTACGTGACAATATAACACGTCAATCTATCTAAATAAAGGTTATTTCCCGACAAATCCATGTCCCACCAGTATGCGAATTGCCATGAGAAAGAGGGCGAAGAAAACTAAGGATTATGAAAGATGTCAAGATCCATCTTAGCTCTACGATTTACCTCTATTTCTCTGCCCCACTATTTATTTAATCATGTATGTTGTTTTCGTTTGATTTATTCAATCTAATGGCTAGACATAGACCCTATATTTATGATTTACCTCACGATAGTTGTTACTAGATAATGTGCTCACGCTTTGTTGCGTAGATTGAATGTATTAGTCACAACATGCAAGAATAATTTGCACATAAATATGTACTAAAAAGGAGGTAAGAACGGAATTACACCCTCAAATGCACCAATACAGATAACACACATTCATGCCCTTCACATAAACTGCAGGCCAAGATGCGAAAAAAACATATGCAATTCCTTGAAGGAAAATTTCTAGGCCTTTGTTATATTATGTATTAAAAGAGAACCAACTCTATCCCCAAACACTAAATTTGTTCACTTGAGTCAGAGTCTATTGTAAAACTCAAGCTTACTGTCCAAAATCAGAAACAATTTGTACCATTTACATGCATGTGCAAGATATGCCTTACACTGGAAAAACGTCTAAACTCATAATACAAATTTGTAATCACGGACAGATTTTGTTTTGCATTTTTATAATCAAGTGGCAAGCAAAATTACAAACTTGCAGCAACCAAACACAGAACATTTTGCATGGAAGCTAACAGTAGAGGTCTGTGAAGCAAACAGCGGCATGAGGTGAAGCCTCTTGAACAAATTAGAGGTAGTTTAGCCTCTGTCCTCCTCCTCAGTCAAAAAAATTACAAAAACATAGTAGCATCACTAAAAAATGCATGATGAAATGGATACATAGTTTTCATGCAGAGAGAGAGAGAGGTACTTTAAATCTTTTTATAGAATATGAGACAACTATAAAGAGATATCTAGCATTATATCTTAGGTACACGTATAATACACAAATTTTATCTAGTTCTAGAGCAAACCCATTCGGTCTTGACTCCCATAAGGTCTTTTTTATGTTCCTTTGCCTTGTAGTTTATTACTTCCGCGGTTGAAATTAGAACTAGATACAAAATTAATAGTGTGCGTTTCGTAGATTTTATCCCGAACAGGACGGTGAAAGCTGAAAGAGAGTTTTTATGCCAAAACAAATTCATTTGTATAGACTTAATTGTTGTGATTAATTATGGGTCATGTGTTGACGACAACAATTGAAGACCATGTGTTTGTTTTCGGTTGTGGCGTGGAAAGTCTTCGTTCAAGGATTGCACGCTATAGACTACGTACAGCAAAGAGTTTGAATTTGGCGTGTGAATTAAAGACCAATTGGTCTTAGTTGTTGGTGTCAGTTTAATGGGTTGCTGGTGTATGCATTTAACTAGATGCAGTATTTGTGCATTTGGTAAGCATCCGAAGGGGAACGCAGAGGAGAGGAAATCAGAGAGAAAAGAGTGGCATCTTGGGGTTGGGTAAGCTCTTGTGAAATACTGTGAGATGGTGTACAAGGGTTTCAGTTTTGATTTATGTTGATTTAACTCAAGTGTATCTTGTACTTGTTATTATTCTTACAGTGAAGAGCAATATATTTCTGGGGACATAGGCAGGATTTTGCCGAAATTCTTAAATTTTTTGGTGTCTTTATTTCTTGTTTATTTTATTATATTCAACTATGGTTTGTATTCTAGTGATGTTGTAATTTGAAATCTCGGTTCCGCATAGACAAGGGCACAACATGATAAAAACTAATAATCCTTCAACCAATAGCATCATAGGTCTAGTCAACGCAGAGAAAATGAATACATTTCTATACTATGAATATGGACCCACATATCAAAGAAAGAGTGCACATTATCACTAGACCTGGTCTAGGTTGACAATGTACGTGACAATATAACACGTTAATCTATTTAAATAAAGACTATTTCCCGACAAATCCATGCCCCACTGATATGCGAATTTTGCCATGAGAAAGAAGGCGAAGAAAAATAAGGATTATGATAGATGTCAGGATCCATCTTAGCTTTACGATTTACCTCTATTTCTCTGCCCCACTATTTGTTTAATCATGAATGTTATTTTCGTTTGATTTATTCAATCTAATTGCTAGAAATAGAGAGTAAATCACCTCCCTATATTTATGATTTACCTCATAAAGTTCTTACTAGAAAATGTGTCCGCGCTTCGCTGCGAGGATTGAATGTATTAGTCGCAACATGCAAGAATAATTTGCACAGAAAGATGCGCTAAAAAGGCAGTAAGAATGGAATCACACCCTCAAATGCACCTATGTCGATAACACACATTAATGCCCTTTACATAAACTGCAGGCCAAGATGCGAAAAAAACATATGCATATTCCTTGAAGAAAAAATTTCTAGGCCTTTGTTATATTATGTATTAAAGAGAACCAACTCTATCCCCAAACACTAAATTTGTTCATTTGAGTCAGAGTCCTCTTGCAAGTATTGTAAAACTCAAAAGCTTACTGTCCAAAACCAAAAACAATCTGTACCATTTACATGCATGTGCAAGATATGCCTTACACTGGAAAAACGTCTAAACTCATAATACAAATTTGTAATCATGGACAGATTTTGTTTTGCATTTTTATAATCAAGTAGCAAGCAAAATTACAAATGCACCAATGTAGATAACACACATTAATGCCCTTCACATAAACTGTAGGCCAAGATGCGAAAAAAAAAACATATGCATATTCCTTGAAAGAAAATTTCTAGGCCTTTGTTATATTATGTTTTAAAGAGAACCAACTCTATCCTCAAAACACTAAATTTGTTCACTCGAGTCAGAGTCCTCTTGCAAGTATTGTAAAACTCAAAAGCTTACTGTCCAAAACCAGAAACAATGCATGTGCAAGATATGCCTTACACTGGAAAAATGTCTAAACTCTTAATACAAATTTGTAATCACGGACGGATTTTGCTTTGCATTTTTATACTCAAGTAGCAAGCAAAATTACAAACTTGCAGCAACCAAACACAGAACATTTTGCATGGAAGCTATAACAGTAGAGGTCTGTGAAGCAAACAGCGGCATGAGGTGAAGCCTCTTGAACAAATTGGAGGTAGTTTAGCCTTTGTCCTCCTCCTCAATCAAAAAAATTGCAAAAACATAGTAGCTTCACTAAAAAATGCATGATGAAATGGATACATAGTTTTCATGCAGAGAGAGAGTACTTTTAAATCTTTTTATAGAATATGAGACAACTATAAAAAGATATCTAGCATTATATCTTAGGTACATGTATAATATACCAATTTGATGTGCGCCTAAGTAAATCTTTTAGGATTGTCAATTGGCCAAAATATATTGGACAATAATCAAAAGAAAGCACTTTTAGTTGGTTAACTATTATAAACTATTGAAATTAGAATGAAACTATGTAGTTTCAAAATTGGAGAAGACCACTTGCGAAGAAAACTATAATATAAATGTGAATTGCAAATATAAATCCAATTTTCAAACAAAATTCACCAATATAAATCTGAAATTTGAATTGTCTACGTTTTCTATTAAAACCCAGCGTTTATCCTTTAGCCATCATACGTCTCAAACAATACCGTTTCATCAATAATTCTAAAACCATTCATACTCATACCAATCAACTCTATTAAGCTCAAACCAATTCGGTCTAATACGTAACAAAAAAGTTGTACTTCATATTTACGATACCATGTCTCCTTTCCATGTCCCTTGGTGAAGTCAATATCGTCCCACCAACTGACCATTATTGTGCAATAGTTAAAATCTACCCCACGCGATCTTGCCACTGGAGGAGCAGTTTCTGCCATCGTAAAAAGCATTGCGTCCTCTCGCTCCATCCTTTACCAAATTGTTGCCACTGACGCTCTCTCCAAACATTGTCCTTACAAGTGTAAATTAGACCAGTACAATGATACACAAAGAAAGACATGAAAGAAGTGGGAGAACACTTATCATCGAAGAAATTATGCGATAATCAACCATAGAACGCATTTGTGACTTAAAGAAGAAGGGTCAGTTTGTTGATGGTGTAAGGACAGTCTGCTTCAGGAAGCGCTAGAATTAGTGGAAGAAATTGAAAGGAGAGGCTTTACTGTTGATTTAATTACTGTATCGTCACTTGTGATTGGGCTGTATAAAGGTCGGTGGGATTGGACGGACAAGCTCATGAAGCACATTAGAGATGGTAACCTAGTGCGGAGTGTTCTTAAATGGAAGGTTGATATGGAGGCTTCACTGAAAAATCCGCAGAGAAATAGAAAGGATTATACACCATTGTTCCCAAGTTAAGGTGACTTGAGCGAGATTATGAGTTTAATAAAGTCTGCTGTATCAACAATGGATGCAGACCTAGATTCAGAGGCTGCCAGGGCTAAAGAAGATGATAAGAATTTGTCCACCGATGAGGATCAGTGGTCATCATCTCCACATATGGATGAATTGGCTCATCAACTTAAGGCTGCCGATCACTCCTCGCAGCTGTTTTCATTGTCCAGGGGGCTAAGAGTTCAAGCGAAAGGGGAAAGCACTTTTGATATTGACATGGTTAATACTTTTTTGTCCTTATTCTTGGCCAAGGGAAAGCTGAGCATAGCATGCAAATTTTTTGAGATTTTCAGTGACCTTGGTGAAAACCCCGTGAGTTATTCCATGATGAGTTCGTTTGTCAAGAAGGGCTACTTCAATGAGGCACGGGGTGTACTCAATGAAATGGGAGAAAAGGTTTGCCCCACAGACGTAGCTACATACAATGTGATAATTCAAGGCTTGGGGAAGATGGGTAGAGCGGATCTGGCGAGTTCTGTCCTAGATAAGCTAATTAAGCAGGGTGGTTATCTTGACGTGGTTATGTACAACACCTTGATTAATGCACTAGGGAAGGCTAGCAGGATTGATGAAGTAAACAAGCTCTTTGAGCAGATGAAGAGTAGTGGAATAAATCCTGATGTTGTCACTTTTAATACACTTATTGACGTTCATAGCAAAGCAGGTCCGCTAAAAGATGCATATAAGTTTTTGAAAATGATGCTCAATGCAGGCTGCACCCCGAACCATGTTACTGACACGACTTTAGATTTTCTGGGCAAGGAGATTGAGAAAATGAGGTACCAGAAGGCATCCATGGTGCGCAATAAGGATGACTGACCTTGATAAGAATTTGTACACTTCAATTCAACTGTAGTTCAACCTGCTATGGCTTTCAGCTCATAAATGTTAAATGAAAATTTGAAGGCCAAAAGTGTAGTCGTGTGTTGAGGTGCCTTTTCGACCTATAATCATGTCATGCTCAGCTTCGGTCATTTCTCAGGGTAATTCGAATTGCTAGAGGTGAAACTCCAGGTCAGTACCTACTAAACGGTTAGAATGTAATGTTACTAGAATATTTGTTTTTCTTCCAAAACTCAGAAATATATAATTGAGCTTTGTTAAGCTAGAAGGTAGATTATTTGATTCTGGTAGTGATTTATGCAAAAATTTGAATGATAATGTTACTACTGCGTATTAGTTTTCTTCTTTTATGTTAATGCATCCTGCTTTCACTATTTCCATTAAGAAGAGCGTGCCTTGGATTCTTGCTTCGTTTCCTTCTCAGTTTTCTAACCCAACCCAAGTACAACTACAACGCTTCTTATCTGTAGCCTTGTCGTAAACTATCTAAATAACTAGAAGTCTCTCAAGAAAATGAGTTATAGCTAAGAATCCTTAAAAGATGTTTCTTGCCTCATTCTTTCTTTCGATTCTACCTTTTATTAAAAAAAAAAAAAAAAAAAAAAAAAAGGGAAAAGAAAAGAAAAGGGAAACATGAAGAAAAGGCAGACATATTTTCAACTGAAATTGTGAGAACTTTCCGTATAATAGCAGAACTACGTAGCAGACTGGAAACTTAAATGCGTACACAAAAACTGCAAACTTCGTTTGATACTATTTTCCAGCAGATTCGGCTTTTCTCCTAATCTTACCTAACCTTTAAATCTCAACCATTTATGTACATCCTATGGTTACTTCATAGGAGTTTATAATTTTTTTTCCTCTTAAAAGCAATTATTTGGGGTGACAAACTCTGAAATTAAGAAAGGAACAGAGGTAAAATGGGGCATAGTGCAGCCATTGGAACTCTAAACGATGATACTATTAGGTTCTCCATACGATACTTAGGTTTCTTCAATGCCGATTCATTCTGTTTTTGCTTATGCTCGGAACATGGAAAAATTGTAGTAATTGGAATCCAGAAGCAAAACGAATTTGGCATATGGTGAATTCAAGCTCGTACTTCTTGCAGTATATGTTATCAGAATCTGGAACGCATATCAGATTCTCATGTAAGATTTTGATAATTTTGTCTCTTATTGATTTCTTTTTAGAAAAGAAAACTTGTTATGTTCTAGAGCAAACCCATTTGGTCTTCACTCCTGCAAGGTCTTAGCTATAAAATATCAGAGCATCAGGATTTGACCACAGTGATCAAGAGCTATTGGATTTTATTTTACCAATGTTGGCTTGATCTTAGTATAAGAATAGGTAAAGATTAGGATAGAGTAGATATGGAGAGAAGGCAGATTCGTTTTTCACCACGCGTTGTGCTGGATGATTACAGACAATAGCAAAGTTTCCAACTTTTGTGGTTCACTTGAAAAATGACAATTGATAGACAAGTACTGTTTTGTTGAAATAGAATGGACAAGTACTGTTTTGTGGATGATTACAAACAAATTCATTTGAATAGAATGAATAGACAAGTACTGTTTTGTTGAAATACTATCAATTTGGACCACATATCAATGAAAGAGTGCATACTTGACATATAACATGTCAGACCACTAATATGGAATATTGTGCCGTGAGAAAGTGGGCGAAGAAAAATGTTAGGATAATGATAGATGTGAGATCCATCTTAGCTCTACACTAGTCAACTCTTTTAGTCTAGGAATTCGATTAATGCTTTCTTAGCCAGTAGTCTATATTTATTTAGGCACTCTTTTTAGCCTCACACACATCCTGTTTTTGTTTGATTTATTAAATTTAATGGCTATAAATAAAGGGTGAATCGCCTTCCTATTTACGTCACAAGAATTCTTATAAATTTTAAGCTGCTAGACTACCGCAGCATACCCAAACCAAAGTTTCACACAAAACCGATACCATGGGGAGTTACAAGTTCATTTCACCACTTCTCTTCTTCTCATATTTGTGCATGCATGCCTTTGTTCTTAACTCATGTCTTCGTTTGGCCCTCGCCGGATCAAACGAGACAGATAAACTGGCCTTGCTTGAATTCAAGGCTTGTATAACCAGAGACCCCTTTGGAGTCATGACTTCATGGAACGAAACCATCCACTTTTGCCAATGGCACGGCGTTACCTGCGGTCACCGCCACAAGAGGGTCACAACGTTGATGCTGAGGTCCTTGAAGCTTGGAGGCTCTATATCGCCTCATGTTGGAAATTTGAGTTTCCTCAGAGTGTTTAATCTCATAAACAACAGCTTCAGTCATGAAATCCCTCCAGAAATTGGCAGTCTGCGCAGGCTGCAACTTTTGGGATTGCAAAATAATTCATTGAGTGGGGAAATTCCCACTAATTTATCAGGTTGCTCTGAACTCAACCACATATATATTGGCGGCAATTTGTTAGAAGGTAGTATCCCTAAGGAGCTTGGCACCTTGTCAAAGCTAAAAAAATTCAATATTGACGACAACCACCATACAGGAAGTATCCCTTACACTTTTAGCAACATATCATCTCTTGAAGCGTTTAGAGCAAGTTTTAATAATTTAGGTGGCATTATTCCAGATATCTTTGGTCGACTGACCAATTTTAGTTTTCTTGTATTGGAAGGAAATGACTTGTCCGGTACGATCCCTCCCTCAGTTTTCAATCACTCTTCTCTTGACACCTTTGCTGTGGGATATAATTACAACCTCCAAGGCACGGTGCCTTCAAACTTAGGCAATTCTTGTCCAAGTCTCCGAACTTATGCCATCGATGATAACAAATTTAGTGGAACGATACCTGTTTCAATATCTAACGCATCAAATCTGTTTGAGCTAGCATTACTCCATAACCAACTGCGCGGAGAAGTCCCCTCTTTGAAAAACTTACACAATCTTGGGCGGTTTACTCTTGGTGATAACCATCTTGGAAGTGGGGGAACTGGTGATGATTTGAGCTTTCTTTGCGATCTGAGTAATGCCACCGGTTTACAATACTTGGAATTTCAATCAAACAACTTTGGGGGTACGTTGCCTCGATGCTTAGCCAACCTGTCTTCTTCACTTTTATCCTTCTACGTAGCCTATAATAGTATATTTGGTAGTATCCCGAATGCGATGGAAAATCTGCAAAACCTGGAAAGCATATGGCTGTCTGGCAACCAGTTTTCAGGTCTCATCCCCCCTGAAATAGGAAGGCTTCCCAATTTATACGAAGTAGCTATGGAAATCAACTCTCTCTGTGGGAATGTTCCATCATCTTTCGGAAACTTAAGTCGATTAACTGATCTGCATCTCGAGGATAACAACCTTCAGGGCAACATCCCTTCAACTTTATCTCGGTGTCCCAATTTGTTGGAGTTAACTCTTGGCAGTAACAATTTCACTGGTATCATATCCCCAGAATTAATTCGTCCGTCTTCTTCATATGTTTATTTGGATTTATCTCGAAATCATTTGACTGGCTTTCTTCCCATGGAAGTCGGACAATTGATAAATCTAGAGGCGCTTGATGTTTCTGGAAACCTGTTGTCTGGTGAAATTCCTCCAAGTCTTGGAAGTTGTAAAACCCTACAGTATCTTAACTTGCAAGAAAACTTCTTCCAAGGGACAATTCCATCAGATTTGAGCTCACTAAGAGGTATTGAAACCTTATCTCTCGCTCGCAACAACTTGTCAGGGACAATTCCGAAATTCTTGGAGAATTTTACATTTCTGCAATCCTTGAATCTGTCTTATAACAATTTAGAGGGAGCAGTACCTATCGAAGGAGTGTTTCGGAATGCAACTGCCACATCAGTCCAAGGGAATACAAAGCTCTGTGGGGGCATACCAGAGTTTCAATTGCCAAAATGCAAATTTCGACATTCCAGCAAAAGAGGGTTGAGCCTAACCTTGAAACTGGTAATCTCTCTCCTTTGTGGGCTTTCTGGAGCCTTTTTTTCATTTGCCGTTGTGTACCTTTGTTGCTTCCGGAGTAAAAAAAAGGCGGATCCTTCGAGTGATTCTGAAAAACTTCCTAAGGTGTCTTACCAAAGTCTTCTTAAAGCTACTGATGGATTCTCTTCTGCCAATTTGATTGGTATGGGAAGTTTTGGGTCAGTTTATAAAGGATTACTTGATCAAGGTGAGACAACAATTGCTATCAAGGTACTCAACCTCAATCGACACGGAGCTTCCAAAAGTTTCATTGCTGAGTGTGAGGCTTTGAAAAATATTAGACACCGTAACCTTGTGAAGGTACTTTCTGCATGCTCCGGATTTGACTTTCGTGGTTCTGATTTCAAGGCCTTAATTTACGAGTTCATGGTGAATGGGAGCTTAGAGGAATGGTTGCATCCAGCTCAGACAAGTATTGATACGAATCAGAGGCCAAGGAGCTTAACTTTTTCGCAGAGGTTGAACATTGCGATAGATGTTGCAATGGCATTGGATTATCTCCATCATCACTGTCACGTGCCCATAGTTCATTGTGACCTCAAACCCAACAATGTTCTTCTCGACAATGATATGATTGGACATGTAGGTGACTTTGGGTTGGCGAGATTCCTTCCAAGAACTCTTGAAGATGGTTTTGGTAATCAGTCAAGCTCCATCGTTGTTAAAGGAACAATCGGTTATACTCCGCCAGGTAAAACGTACTCACTTTCTTTTCACTTTTTTTCAGTATTCATCTATAATTTAGATTTTTTTTTACGTATTAAAATAAAAACATTTGCACAAATGTAGAGTATGGTATGGGGCATGAAGTGTGGCGACAAGGTGACGTGTATAGTTACGGCATCCTCCTGCTGGAAATGTTTACGGGAAAAAGGCCAACCGGCAACATGTTTCAAGGATCTTCAAATCTTCACAACTTTGTCAAGGCAGCACTGCCTGAGCAGGTGTTAGATATTGTGGATCCGGTTCTTATTCAAGAAAAAGGAGAAGGGGAGATGAGTGCAAACCAGCGTCTAACTAAGGCTAGCACATCAATTCGCATGAAATTTGAAGAGAGCTTGATTTCAATCTTAGGAGTTGGTGTTGCATGCTCCGTAGACATGCCTGGGGAAAGGTCGGACATCACTGATGCTATGGCTGAGATGTGTCGGATCAGAAACCAACTTCGAGCAGATAAAATGTTGGATTAGAATAAGCATACTGTTAAGTATTAGCATGTACGTAATAATCTTGTTTCCTTTTGTGAAAATGGAAGTTCTAAGATTTGCGTGATCAATAAAAACATTATAGTTGATAACTTCACTCCACTTTATTACTTCGTATTGAGTTATACTTAGATGCATTTGGCGTAAGGTGAATTTAA